GGGGGGGGAAGAGAGGGAAAAAAGCCTTCCCAATGGAAAAAAGCTTTTGGTCAGGTGTTTGCCTCAATCCACATCAGCTTCAAAGGCTACAAGGACAGTAAGAGAATTTAATTAAGATTAAAAGCATGAAAGATCCTAACACCCTTAAGTATCTATGCTTCTATAATATTACAGAAGATTCATTTTTGACAGGAATAGAACAATTGTTTTTCTCTACCTTCCTATCACATCCTGGAAAGTTTGCTATAAAAGGCAATAAAGGTTAAAAACATCCAACTTGAACTATTGTGGCTTTTTTTATTTAATACTAAATTCAATATAAACTCCCATGGATTCAGTTTCTGGTACTATAGTTTCAAGCTCAAAGTAAAAAATCACTACATGTGCTTTTCACCAATGTGGAGACTCTAGGAACACAAGATGACCAGGGACAGTAGCCACAGACAATCACAAGTACGACGTTTTATCTGCACTACAAGTTTTATTAAAGCAATAAGTTACCTATGCATATATAAATCCCACAAAATCCATGCAATGACTAAGACTGTCGTCATACTCACACCCTAGATATTCTAGGGTCCAACGCACTTTTTAACAGATGATCATTGAGGGTCTTTCAACTTTTACCCAACCAGGAAACATCTTTTATAGAATTGTTCCACATGCATATCCATGAGGGTTTCAAACCTCTTTTTCCTTATATGTACATGAATATCTCATGAATATCAGGGTGCCCCATTTTACATAGATTATTTCTAAGTTCTTCTTACTCTCATTAGCATCTACACACAACATACAACTTGTGATCAGGACATGATGTTCCATGATGTTACAATCAGATATTTTATGGACTTGACCAATACACTGTAGTCTATTTCAGTTTGCTGTAACATCGCCTATTGTTGCATCTGCTGCAGTAATCTTGTGACCTTATGGCATTGGGTTATTCCTACATCACCCATTCATGTCAACGATTCTGAAGCGAATTACAGCCCTCAGCCTATAGGCCTTCCATTCCAGCCCTCAGCCTATAGGCCTTCCATTCCAGCCTTGTTTTACTTATCACACTTCTATAACTCTACAATTTAGGTCAATTTAGCATACATTGATTATACGTGAAGTACTATATGAACTGACCATAAAAACCAAATCACACCATAATGATACATGGATGACAAAATAAATTAATTGGCTACACTATTTAATTACCACCCTCAATATTTGTAAAGGAGCTAAAAAAATTAGTCAATCTCACTCACATTATTTTACTTTCCATAATGATTATAATATTGCTGTTACATTTTTATGAGCAAATCAGTCATGAAAAAGTTCAAAGTAGTAAATTAGACTTCAAAATATAAAATTTGACACAGGAGGAAGTTACAACAATTGTTACTAACCCGGTGTTGGAAGAAGAGCTCCTGACGGCCTATCACCCAACAATGAAGGTTTAGCTGGAGAAAGGAGCGACTGGCCTAAAAGAACATTCCTGTTGGGTGTTGGCAGAAGAGGTGGAGGTTTACTTAAGGTATGTGTGGCAGTGCTTGTACTTGGCATCATGTTTCCTTGATACAATGAGTCTTCAACTTGAGTTGAAGGATCACTTCGTTCAACAAGGGCTAGTTTAAGAAAACAACAAACAACAACGTAAGTAATTCTTAAGAGCACAGCTTTATGAAGACTGCATAACCTATAATGGCAAGATTATTTCTAATTATCAACCCCTTAGCCTAGAGGTTCAAGAAGTCTCTGTAGGACTGCTCCTATGGATCCAGAGAACACCAGAATATCTTTCCAAAATACATGTTTTCTGCAATTTATGCAAGTTTGTTGGTTTGTTTTATCTGTTAAAATTGTTCTGCTGAATTTCTCTTGAATACTTTGCAAAATTTATATAATGGTTGAAATAATGTTTATCATCAAACCAGATGTGAAATTCTGCACAATGGCTTCTTCTATGTGACTTTAATTTAGAATGCTTTTATACGTGTATGTTATTATCAAAACTTAAAGGTGTAATGTTAAAAGAAGTGCTACAAAAATTTACTTGTAACAATGAAGCTTAAGGGAGAGTGATTACCCAGTAGGGGGCTTGGATATAAATATTTAAGTGTTGGATGTGTAACCATATCTAGAGGGAATATATATATGACTTTAGGATAAATATACACGTGCTTTAATATACATTGACATGTACAAGTGGGCTTTTGACCTTCATCTATATTAATAGACTATTTATGTGGAATGTACCTGAGAGCTAGATTTGTAACAGTTCGATTTAAAAATATGTGTAAAGCTGTATTTTTTTGGGGAAAAAAGCATGAATACCTTCAAGCTCATCTTTCCTCGTCTTCAGGTAGTCACTTACTGAGTTCAACTCCTCACGATATAAATATTTTCCCTCACTTAACAGAAAGAGGAGATGTCTAATGGCTAGAGGCACACTGTAACTCCCATTGAGCTCCCGTTCTATGTAGTCATCCGCCAGATCAGCTGCTTTGTGTGAAACTGCGGTACGCTCCTGCTGCTCACGCTCAGCAAAAATTTTCCCAAATGCTTTAACTACGAGAGCCAATGCATCCTCCATGGGCATATTACGGTGTACTACAGAGAAGAGAGATAGCTTGCTTTATCAGTCTTGTGTTCCCATCTACTTGACACATTTATAAAAAGACAAAAACAGTGCTATTAAGTCTGTGTGTAATTCAATAGGATGAAATTTAAATGGTTTCTGTTTCAGGATTAACAGGGTTACCCTGTAATTACAAAGGTTAGTTTGATTCAACACAACTATGTGCAATGTTACTTAACTACAAATTAAATTTAAAAAGTTGCCCAATTAAAAGATACTGCGCACTTGTCAACTTAATTTAAGCTTGGGCTATAAAGATTCTTGATTTTACCCTTGAACAGTAAAGTAAGAGGAAAAGTAGTATTAGCACAGACTTACTACTTGAATTCAAAACAAATTTTACCTGAATGGAGGAACAGGACAGTTAGATATTTTTAATTTAAAGAGAAAGTACCTTTATAATAATGTCTAGAACACTTGTGTTTTTGTTAAAAGGGAAAGATGTGACATATGAAGATAAATGTTTGAAAACCGAAGACTTAAAATAGATGGATTTTAACTTGATCCATCTATATAGCTGTAAGAGAAGAATGTGAACTGTAATCATGTTATTTATATATAATGCCTTACTATTACTTACTATGCTTAACAGCTTTTGTTGCCTATGTCATGCCATTTATGAAAAAAATTCAGGGCAGATGGATGTGTGTTTTGTGAATTATTGGAAATTAATTCAATGAAGTATTTACAAATCAACACATCTTAACTTGGTAAAAAAATCTGACCTAGAAGTGTAATGTGTCAGTATTAAATATTTTAACATGTTCAAAGAAAATTAAATTGCAGTTTTGAATGGGGACTATTTTAAGTGACATTTCTACATGAAGCTAAACTTACTTTTGATAGACTCATGAAGCATGATTACGGTGCAAGAGGAAAGTGCTACATTTGACTGTTCAACAAGAATACAAAATGGGGAACCATCATTTTTAACTTCTTGGAGGGCGCGTGTGAGACCCAACTCAGATGTAAGGTATATCATTTCCACCACAAGGCCATGATCCTGCAACCGATGGCCTATGACTGTTGCATATTCCCTTAAAGAAAAAAAAGAGGCTGGTTATTTTACAAATAAAAGTCTGTGTCATTGTTGTTGCCATGCTGTAGTTCATGTTTTGTATGTTCTCAGTTACAGGTAACAATTCTAGTTATGTGACGTGTAAGAAAGAAACAGTTTTCGTTCCACAAATGGAATGTTCCCTAAATCAGATAAGCTCTTTTAGATGACAAAAATGCAGATTAAGAAGTACATATACCAACAATTTTAGAAAAAAAGTCTCGGTGTTCTATTGTTTAGAAATGTGATCCTTTCATAGAGGGACATTTTTAATTGAGGATCCCTATGTGGTCATGTATTTAGTGCTATTTTTGGAAAGTATGTGCATATATTATTACACTAGTGATTGAAAGTATTTATATTTAGTTTTTATTTATTCTAATTCATCTATATATCACAGATAGTCAAATACATTCAATTAAAATTTGACTTTTTTTAGCATAAATTGTTATGACTGGTATTAGTGTAAGCCTTTTAATTGCATTAACTAGTTGGCTTTTTAAAAAGAAAAAAGTGTGAGGAAAAAAAGGAAAGGCGTTGAGAATTAGGCTTAAAGGGCATTTATGCTTAGCAAATGTATAGCACACATTATACTACATGTACTCTGCTCTATGTGTAACTTCTGAGGGCTTGTCTACATTAGCAAGTTATTGCATTGTAACTGTCTTGGTCAAGGGTGATAAAACACACATGCACACACACCCCTGAGCACAGCAAGTTACAGCACTATAAACAACAATGTAAACAGGCCCCTCGTGGAAGTGGTTTACCCAGAGCACGGGTGCTGTTACCACACTGTCATGCTTGGCAATGTAGACAAAACCTGAGTCTTATCTGTTTATTTTACAGTTGAAAGTTTATTAGTGTTAACACCAGGGAAGCAATAGGACAGGGGAAGCCTTGTTCATTCTGGCTTCATCAGAATTGTTAGCTTACATTCAATAACATAATATACATAAGAGAAAAACACAGATAACTTTGTACCATGTGGTACAGACTATTTTGGCAGTTAGGAAGATGTTACTTTAATATGTAAATTAAGTATTGATGTGAAAGCAAGTGAAGAAAAATGGAGAGCAAGATGTCAATTTTACACAGTTATTTTTAACTGAATCAAAAGTATACTTTTACAAACTGCTTACAGAATCAAGTGTTATCACTGCGCGATATAACCAGTATTATCTGGTGACTCAACAAGCCAATCTAAGTTGTTCCTTCAGACAAAGCTATAGTTATGGCAGTGTTTTCACCATAATTGCAAGTCTTTCCACTACTGAATACAGAACATCCATTTCACTGAGCACTGACTCTTGACATGTTATGCAGGGTACTGACAGTGCATTTGCCAAGTGCATTTGAAGTGATCACCTATTATAACATCTTTCAGATGGTGTCACGAATTAAGAGATGATGAAAACCTCTACTGTAATTCAAGTAACATCTGAATATCAAAAGACTAACATGTCAGATGGAGGGAAGAAAGAAAGGGGATTAAGGTAACATTTATAGCTACAGAATCCAATATTCAAAAGAGAGCAGCAGTATCAGCACTGCTTTAGACTGATGAATTTGTTGATTCACTTACTAGACGTTGTATAAAAGTGTAAAAAGTATAATAAATCATCCACAAGTAGTCTCTAAGGTGCTGAAAGACTATTCGTTGTTTAAGTTTTCCAAGTTTCCATGCAGTTAGTCCATTTGAAAACAAGCGTATTGGTAATTAATTTTGTACTAGACACTAAATATAAGTACATTTATTTTCTTATTGAAACAGAGGGAAGGGAGAAAGGAAATAAATAGCATTTAATTGGTGATACTGACCATTAATGAAACATCAATACTAAATTTAAGCTTTCTTGAACCAATCCTCCTTCCTCCCCTCAAATAAAATCTATTCTGAATGCATCAATGATTGCCAAGACCTCCATAATGAAGTTGATCCTGGTCATCTCTATGAGATGGACAATTGTGATATGAAAGTTAATAGTGTATGATAACCAAGAAGAAATCTCTCTGCATTCTACTTCATGTAATGTTCCTGTGTTGCCAAATATGTAATTTCAAGCCTTTATACAGTTGTTAGAAAATTACATTGAATCTTTAAATAGAAAGTGTAAGGTTTCACTATGCAGATTTCACTACTCACAAGGATTAATCTGGAAGAAAACAAAAGTTACTTAACATGAAAAAAGCCTAAAAGGTTTGCTTTCAGTTTAAAGGGAGGCTACACTTAAAATTTTTAGAACGGTTTAGTGTTTGTTTTTTTGCTGTAATCACCATTTAACAGACCAAAAGATTAAAGAAAAAACATACTTGAGTTTGTGCATTTGATAGTGCCTTATATTATAGCTAGTTCCCCTATTGTATATGTGGATCTTTCATTTGGCAGCTACAGAGAAAAATGTAAAATACTAAAAATTGTTGAGATGACTCAAGGACAGGTGTAGGATCTGAACTTACTTTTAACATTTTATATAGATTAGATTTCATGGTTTCTAAAAAAGTGTTTCTACTACTAAATGTTAAAATATAAGCAACAGTAAGAGTTAACTAAGAGTTAATTTGCTTTAGAAATATCTTAAAGTTCTTCTGTGTGCCCCCATGTATACTTAATATACTCACTGGCCTGGGAGATGCATAACAATTTTAAATACTTAAGCAAAAACTAAATAGAATTATGTTAAGGAACTTCAGAGAGAAAAAAGTAGGCTTAACATTCAAATATTACCTACATCCTCAGTTCTGAGAGAATATCATCGTCAACTGAGTATCTTAACTGAAAACATAAAACATCTCATTTTTTAATTAGAAACCTACGTTTGTTCCTTGCTGATGGCTACAATGATACAGTCAGAAGGTCTTTCTTTATCATACTCTTTTTGTATCTGCTGGTAAAACTGCATGTATAGCTTCTCCCTGCGACCATCCCTGGTATAGTCATCCTCTAAAATCAAAGAACAAATTGATTAAAAAGTAACAGTGACTGGTACCATTACTGGAGCATCAGGTTTCTTTCCCATTCTATTTCCACAATACTTAATTGAGAAGTCCACTAAAAACTGAATTGATCTTGGACACATAGCAAGACACAAGGAATGTGATTTAACTAGGAAGCAACTTAACTAACAACTGAGAATTATCCAGTAATAACTCATTTTTTGTATGTCACCCTTCCTTCCTAAATCTGTTCTACATGATAAAGACTGTCTTGAGACCTCTACTTCAAACCTGATCCCAGTCCACTGTTAGGATCCTATTACCACCCCTCATAAAACGCTGGGGAGGAAAGGGGGCTGATTTCTCACTCTATGAAGTATTTGGGGGCCCAACCCTATTCCACACCTTCTTTAGGTTACTTTCCCTAAATCTACTTCCAACTCTGGTTCATTAAAGAACCAGACTTCTATTAAAAAAGTACCTGCACTGGAAACACGCTACCAGGAGGAGACAGCAATTAGCTGGGCTACTTCCCCTCATCCCCAACCAGGTTCCCATATGTTAACAACTCCTTCCCTAATATTGGCCAAAAATATATTCAGTCTCTGTCAGGGTATTTCCTGAGGAGCCCAGATAACCCATTTTATTGTGTAAGTGTGATCAGTTCTGATTTACACATTTTCTAGCCTCATGAACATGCAGCAGCCTAGTGACTCTCTACTATAATCTCTGCTGAAAGACTTCAAATTGCAATTGCTCATAGGAAAAGGTTCTGCCCTCTCTTTGCCCTAGTTATTAAAGCAATCTTCTCACAAGATTCCCAAATTGTTTTTGCCTCGTCCTTTGTTACCAAAAATGGTAAGTAGATATCAGCTAATCTTGGAGCATGTGTCTTCTTCCATGCAGTTATCCCCTCACCACTGTGAGCCTTCTGGGCAACTGGCTTCCCACTTCTAAGCCCAGTGAACAATATTTGGGCCCACAGATCCAAACATCATCTCTTGTAACCCGCTTCCTTGATACAGAAAACTAGGTATGCAGCAAAACATAGAACATCCACACCAGCAGCCTCTACTTCTCAACTGGAGGCCTTGAATGCACATCAACCAACTGTATCCCTCAGACTCCTATTACTGTACCCGTTTCACTGCAGGAGTTGCAGCCCTGATGCTGAAAGAATGGCACCCAAATTCGCCAGCACACCACAAACTGGAATTTTCTGGAGCAACTCCTATCAACAGGAAGAAAGAGTGGCCCAGCATTAGCCAGTCTCAGCAATATGTAGGTCCTTAATGCTCTGACTGGGTAAGTCCCTGCCTTCCCATACTCTTGCATTACTATAAACTTTTTTGCCCCTCCCTGGTCCATTGACATTGTAAGAATCAAAACGACTGATTATTCCCCCAAATGTAAGTCCCCAAATTCCAAAGCTCTACCTGAAATACTGCCATGCTGATCTCGGCACAAGTGCTTCGATTAAATGCTTAAAAAACCCTCCTTGCGGCAGCTGCCTCGTTCAAATTTGCATACTGGTGATATTAACTTGTGATGAAGAATTCATACCACATTCCAAAGCATCTGAATAATGAAAGGCTTATCAGGGATGTGTTATAGGACCTGTGAGGTGAGACGACCCATCTGCAGCCTCCTAACTAAATATCTGCCACAACAATCCAGATAGCCCAATTTTCTACAGGCTGAGCCTCTCTAAACCAGCCTCTCTTGGCTGGCAACAGCCGTGCTCTGGCAGGACCGTGGATGTTCCAGGACCAGAAAGTCTTGGTGGAGTGCTGTTGGCTGGAGCCCAGTAGTGGGGGTGCCCTGTGGCAGGGAAACTGGGAGACCAATAGCAGGGCTGCTGCCTGGCAGCAAAACTGTCCAGGACACCAGGAGGCAGCAGGGCTACCACCTGATGGTGAAACCAGGAACTAGGAGTACGGCTGCCATCTGGCAGCAAAATCTGGAGGACCAGTAGTAAGGGAGCACAATCAGCAGCCTTGCAGCCCAATAGAGGGGCTGCCTGGTAGCAAAGCTGCCACAACAAAAAGCCCAGCAGCCGTGCTGCTGCCCAGCGGCGCAACTGGACCCTAGCAGCAGGGCTGCCATGCCAGGGCTGTCCGGCAGGGGGGAGCCATCTGAGAGGCTGGCAGATAGGCTGTGGCAGGGGCAGAGGGAAGAGGGGGGAAAAATCAGTGCCAGGGAAGAAGAAATGACTTCTCCTGGTCCAGCAAAATCCCTCGTTCAGGACTAGTCAGGTCCCAGATCAAGGAGGTCCAACTGGTACTACAACAGGTTGAGGCTGATAGACGGAGACCGTCATTGATGCCAGCCAATAGCATATCAGACACCACGTACTTCAGGAACTGGCCAAATCCATCTATCCCAAAAATGAATCAGTTCCCTAAATCCCTAAGCATTCATTGGGGTACTGATCTCCACATTAATCCAAACACAATCAGAAGCCAACGCTCCAAAAGGCCAGCATCATGTGCTCAGGCTCCTTGTTAGCTGTTAGTTCCAAGTCCCAAAATCCATTCATCTGAAATCAAGACAGCGTGGTCAATGCCATTATGAATTGCAGGGACATGTTAGCAGTAAATCAAATTTTACAAATTAAGCACTTCAGGACAAGTGCCCTCATCAACCTCGTAATTCTGAGCGATTTGGATTAGTGGGTGTCAAACTGTCACTATAGAATTTAACTTGTTTGTGAGCTCATGCCCTCCCCCGCAAGTCACTTCAACCAAAATAGGGGGAAACACCCAGTAATGTTATATACTTTACTAGCTCTCTGACTATAGGATTCCTAATTGCCTCCAAATACACTACCCATTCTGATTTAAAAAAAAACAACCTGGTGTCTCCAGTGAATGAGTGAATTTTCAGGTCTGACTATCTACCCCAGCTAGGCATCGAGGCAGCAAAAGACATTACTTTTTCCAAAAAGTAACACAATTGAAGTGATTTAGGAACTGAGCAGTTCCCATGCCCATAAATTCACCTTCATTTCTTTACACACACTTATAAAATGGCTGGGCTTAGCTATCCCTGACATGGCAACTGATGGCAGGGCACAAAATGCCAATCCATGGACTACCAGTCTGCATATAAAACCAAAAAAGGCAAAAAACAAACTGTAGTCCACACAATGTAATCTACTTGGTTCCTCTGTTCTTGTTAATCTGAAAATTCTGCCAGTTTATGCGCAGGAAGCCTAGAGATTCCAGTCTCTATATCTAACTTGATCCCTCAACAAGTCTTTAAGTGAGCACCCCTTTCTCTTCTGCTAGCAGTAATCACATGCACCAGCTAAGAGATGATCTACAGGCTGCCACGGTTTAGAATTTATCCTGCTGATAAATAAAGTGGCATCCAGGTAGTATGCTACTTGCTGTAAGCCTGATTCCCATACCACTGATCTCCAGCTTTGGGCTAAGGACAGTACTGAGCACCCCACTGATATGGCCATTTGAAAATAGAAGTTGACCTACCAAATAAAACCCCAGAAGTCTGAAATCTGAAGGTTTACCGGTAGCAGTTAAAAGCCAATCTAATGTTGCACTTCACTAATATTGCCCGGGGGCTGCAAGCCCTCATCATATCCACAATGAAACAAAGAAACAAAAGACAGAACTATGTAGCACTTTAAAGACTGACAAGATGGTTTATTAGTTGATAAGCTTTCGTGGGTCAGACCCACTTCCTCAGATCAATTTGTGGAAGAAAATTCCACAAATTGATCTGAGGAAGTGGGTCTGACCCACGAAAGCTTATCAACTAATAAACCATCTTGTCAGTCTTTAAAGTGCTACATAGTTCTGTCTTTTGTTTCAGCTAGACCAGACAAACACGGTTGCATCTCTATCACATATCCACAATGGTATCAAAAGAAGAGTAACATATTGAACATTACTCCCTGAACATTACTCCTGGTCTGTTGCATCATACATGGAGCTTCCTCATGGATACAATAGGTGGTAGATCAAGCAATACTCCTTGGTGCCATTTTGGGGACCAAACACATAGGATAAATTTGCAGTCAGTCATAGATCAGAGATGTAAAAGCCCATTTAATTAGTTAACTGGTTAAATGTTCCCAAAGAAATACCTAAACCACCTTGAGCT